GATAACCTACGATCAAAGAGGAGCCCAGAAAATTGACTGTATCACGTTCAGGGATACGTGAGCCATAGAGTACAAAGGATGATCAGAGATGACAGAGCTCTAGTGAAAGTGATTTTGGTGGGTTTTAGTGCTGGAAAATTTAAACCCATGTGTGGTGGCCCAATTGGAAACACGGTCGACTGCATGCTGGAGGAAACTGTAAGGAGGTGACAGTCAGCGCCTGCACAGGCAATAGCAAAGTCATCAACATAGAGTGATGACCAAATATTTGATGGAAGACTAGAGGCCAAATCATTAATAGCAAGGAGAAAAAGTGTTGTGCTCAGAACACATCCCTGGGGGACACCTTCAGCTTGGACAAAGTCCGGGGAGTAGCACATTATTAACCCAGAACAACGAAATGCCTGTCAGTTTAAAAAGTTCTTAAGGAAGGATGGTAGATTGCCTCGAAGGCCTAAGGAGTGGGCTTGGGCTAAAATATTATACCTCCAAGTTGTGTCATATGCCTTCTCAAGGTCAAAAAATATGGCAATAACTGAGTGTTATTCGCAAAGGCATTACGAACATAACGTATCCAAGCGCAGTAAGGGGTCTATGGTAGAACGTCCCTTAACGAAAGCCATATTGACGAGTGGAGAGACTGTTGTGTGTCTCTAAATACCACACTAAAACGTCTATTTACTAGACGTTCCATTACTTTGCAAACTGCACTGGTAAGAGCAATGGGACGATAGTGGGAGGTTTCATGTCCCGTAGTGCCTGGTTTGCGGAAAAGGGAGAACAATGGCGGATTTCCACAGCTGTGGAAGAACTCCTTGTGACCAAATAAGATTGTAAAGGTGTAATAGGACTGCAAGGGCTGACTGATGTAAATGTTGTAGCATACGAATATGAATGTCGTCGGGCCCAGCTGCCGATGAATCGACAAGCTGAGAGTGTTGCCTCCAGTTCTTGAAGTGTAAAAGGCACATTATACTGTTTTCTCTGAGAGAAGAAAAGTCCAAGGGTGCTAACTCTCTGGCAGACTTTGAGGAAAGAAATGAGGGGCATAGATGGAGTCCCAGAGAAATACGGACCAGATGATTGCCAATTTCATTGGCAACATCTAGTGGTTTGCTATATCAACACCGGCAACCCGCAGAACAGGAGCCGGGTCAGGAGAATATTTACCACTCAGTTTTCGTACTTTTTTCCAGACTGCACTCATAGAGGAAGCATGAGGTGATGGTGGAGACATAATCTCGCCAGCAAGTGCGTTTAGCGTCACGGATGACACGGCGAGCGATCGCACGCTTCTGTTTAAAATCAAGAGTCCTCTGTGGTTCTATTGTACCGGTAACCTGCCCCAATGCAGCGCGTTTCAAACGTACTGCACGAGCACAAGCAGGAGACCACCAAGGCACGCATTTCTGAGAATGCCTGCCCGAAGTTTGGGGTATAGAATGAGAAGCTGCGTGTGAAAACGGAGGACGAGAAGAGGTGTAAAGCTCATCGATGGAGGACGAAGAAGGAACCTCTTTTAAAAACAGTCAGGTGTGAGTAAAGGTTCCAATTTGCCCGATTAAATTGCCAGCGTGGGGTGCGAAGAGGTGGCGAATATGAAGGGGAAGTAAGAATGATTGGGAAATGATCACTGTCATGTAAGTCCGGGAGAACAGACCAAGTAAAGTCTAATGCGGCGGAGGAAGAGCAAACTGAGAGATCGATGCAAGAGAGAGTATGATCCGAGGATCAAAATGGTGTGAGTACCTGTATTTAAAACATGGAGGGGGTGGGTGGCAAGAAAACCTCTAACTGAATTCCACGGGAATCACAGTGAGACCCTCCCCAGAGGAAATGGTGGGCATAAAATCACCAAGTAACAGAATCGGTGGCGGTAATGACGAAACAAGGAAGGCAAAATCCGGAATAGATAATGCCCGAGAAGGAGAGAGATATAAAGAACAGAGCGTATACCACCTAATGTAAGTGGATACGGGCTCTGTGTAATGCAGCGAAGTATGAACAAATAGCTGATGGTACGGAATATCAGTGCGGAGAAGAAGGGCACTTTCATTAAAGGATCCCATCAGAAAAGGATCTGAAGAATACAATAAATTATAGCCTGAGATGTGAGAAATAACAGCAGAGTGTAATTTTGGTTTCCTGTAAGCAAACACCAACAGGGCAAACTGGGAGAGTAACATCTGAAGCTCACCCCGATTACCCTGAGGCCGCGTATATTCCACTGTAAAAAGGCCATGATTGGCAATGATAAAGATACTTGAAATCCGCAGGTAAGGGTTCCTACGGACTAGAAGGGTTAGAAAAGTCCACATGCGGAGGCAGTGGAAAATGTTCAAGCAGCGAAGGAACGTGCGCTGTGAAGAAAGGAGTTGCGCAGATGGAGCAAGGAGAGAGGAAGAGCGAAGGTGGATCAGTGTCCATTGATGGTTTGGTCTCTGCAATATATTCAGAGATTGCTTCAAGTGTTTCGGAATTCAGAGATGTCGTATGGGAGACATATTTGGAATGGTAGGGGGAGGATGAGTAAAGATTGGAACTGTATTGGACTGTACCAAGGTAGGGGGGGGGGCGAAGGGTGGAGGGAACTGGAGAAGCGTGGCAGGGGACAGAAGAGACAGGAACCTGGGAGGTGGCAGAAGAGGAAGAAACTTGGGAGGGAACAGGGGAGGAAGTTACATTACGAGGAGGAGGTGAACCTCTGCACTTGTAACTGAGCCAGTGAGAGGGGAAGAACTAGGGACAGAGACAGGGAGGGTAAAATGAGGAGGTGGAAGATGGGTAGGAGGTGTTACCGGACCTTTTTTTGACTTTTGAGAAGTAGAGTGGACGATTGGGAAGAGTGTCGTACGAGGTCTCGTCGATACTGAGGCTTGTAAGAGAGAACTCGAAGAAGCGAGATTAGACTGAGGCGTTGAAGTAGGGACGTCTGAGCCGAGGACAGCAAAAGGATTAGATACAGGAGTGATTATGGGAGAGGTAACCACAGAGGTGGTGTAGAAGATGGATACCAGAAGTGGGGGGACGTTTTGAAACACGGGAATAAAGAAAACACGTGGATCTCCCTTGGAGGCGGAGATGAGAAACTGCCATGGCATAAGGGAGACCTTCTGTCTCTTTGAGGTAACGGATTTCCCGCTCGTTTAAATAGACCTGACAACGGCGAGAGTACGAAGGGTGAGCCTCATGACAGTTAAGGCAAGAGGGAGATCGATTGCAAGACGTATTAGAATGGTCATCGGCACCACAGACTGGGCATTCGGCGATAGATCTGCAATATTTCGCTGGATGGCCAAATCGCCAGCAATTTCTACACTGTTGTTGGTGTAGGGATCACCTTTCGAACTTGTAACCGATGTCCTGCTATATAAACGGAGGATGGGAGTTCTCGGCTGTCAAAAGTTAAACGAGCCACATTGCTAGGGTATCGTCTCCGCCCACGTGGCAGGAAGAACGTAAGTGTCTACCTTGAGGATTGGGAGATCTTGGAGTTCCAGCTGTTCTAGAATGTCGGTGCCACATGTCTGGAAATTTTGTTGAACTATGGTATGGGGCAGAATAACGGTACCACTACAAGAATTGAGGAATGATGTTTTTCAAGGGTGACAGGAACAGTATCTATATGGGTAAGACGAGAGAGCTCACGAGCCTGGGTAGCATTCTGTACGGTAATGATGCGCGTACCGCTCTTAAGAGCATGAACAGAAATTCTTTACCCAACATGGCGTAGAGTGCCTTGCCAATACTATGGTCAGAAAGATAGGCAGTAGAGGAAGTTGGTCGTAAAGTGAAGAATTTAGTTCCACTGTTCAGTCTGAAACTGAGCGTGGAAAGGTAGTGAAGGACGTGTCGATCGTTTCTGAGAAGAACGAGAAGGTGAAGGTGGAGAGGTATCATCAGCAGGTAATTGTCGTTGACGTTTAGGCGTGGGACCAGAGTTGGTCCGACGTGGAACGGGTCGGCGATTTGAAAATTGCCGCACCGTAGAGGGAGAGGCCGGAAGCATAGTCAGAGGAGAGCGAAGGTCTGATAAATCGAAGGAGTCAGTCGAGGCCTCAGTACCTGAAGCGGTGAGGAAACAGCACCGGCAATAGGTACAGAGGCATGAGGAATGTCTGAAGAGTGGTCCAAAGACGAGGCGGGGTCAGAACGGGGTGCGGTAATCAAGAAGGGGCCCGGGGGTACCAGGTTCATGGACTAGGGCTGCCATGGTTAGGTTACTTCTTTCTTTTTGTTTTTAAAAAAAAAAAAGAAAGAAGAAAAGAAAATAAAAATAAAAAAAAGAAAAAAAAAGGGGGGACCGGGGAGGGATAGTTTCCTAGGAGGGATGAAAGGGCCAGAAATCTCCCTCCGCGCCCAAGAGGACTCGACACCCGCTAGTAGCGCAGATGCAGCATGGAACCTGTGCCATACCCTACCCTTCATGCCAGTAAACCAGCAATCTGGGATAGCAACCTCACATCTGCCGAGCTACCTCGGTGGACAAAAGAGAGGGCGGCCGGATATCCGCCACAAAGCAATACCTCCTTCAGCCACCCCACCCCGGAATCCGAAAAAGGGGGCTTCCAGAGCTACACCCGTCGCCCAAAAGACACCCAAAGCTTCTCCGGGATACCGGAGAGGGATCGGGACATCCCTAGGCAATCCAGATTCCACGGCAAACTACGCCACCGCCAAGAAACCTCAACGGAATGGGATGGACCCCGGTGTCCTTTCTCCTACTAGGAACTAGCGCGCCTGTGGGAGAAATCCCAAAGACAAAAAGGAAGGGCAAAAGGGAGGAGTGGGGAGGAGGAGGAGGAAAGGAAAAAGGGGAGGATGGGGAGGATGGGATAGGGGAGGGGAGATTGGGGGGTAATTAGGTTCGGTCTGAGGAAGAAGACCGATAGGTCTAATTCCTCAGACCAAGAGCCTCTTCACCACGCCAAGGAGCCCCCCTTGAAGAGGTATATTAGTGTAACCCAATATAATTGAAATGGTGGTGAATGAAGTCAACATTTATTATAAACTTTAATTTTTCATTACAATATCACTGAAAATTTTGTATGTACAAATTCTAAAGGGTGGGTCTCAAATGTCCATATTTAGGGTTTCTAATATGCATTGAGTGTTAGATGTATTCTGCCATTAGAATAATGTAGAAAGGGTGTATATATATACAGTTCACCTAGTATAGAATACATATATATGGAAGAAGATGCTCTATCTTTACACAAAGTATATGTACAACATAAAATATATAAAAATATTGGAATGGTATGAAGAATATTATTCCTCAGTTTTTAGTTTTAAAGCTAATATTTATAGTTTGACTATAAACCACCATTAAAATGCACAGAACAAACTATCATGAAGTTGAAATGAAAGCAAATCATCCTTTCTTACTTGGCTAGCAATCAAAGCAAGTCACTTGGATTGAAAGATCCACAAGATTAGCTAATTTCCCTATATTGTACCGAAGAAATAAAACCTATCAAAATTATTAAAACAATGACAGATCTGGTAGTAGAAAGTACCTAGTGTAGCCCCCTCTTTTCCATGTACTGGAGGATTAGTAGCCAAGAATTTGTCCACATTCTAATAAAACTGACATGTTACACAAAATATTCAAATATTTCTAGTATATTTTATTTCTGAAACTTTTAAATTTCAGGGATGAAAACTGGTAAACACTAATATGTATGTTTTAGCCACAGAAAATAATTTCTGATTCAATCCCTAAAACTTTTCAACTGATTTTGTATAATGATTATCACATAAGAGAAACTTGCTTGCATTAAGAAGAATGAAAATTAAAGTGTATAAGCACAATTCTTTACAGTACCTACAAATCTTGTTAAGATCTATGGTTCAAATATTCTACTAAAGCTGAGATGTTAATGATACCCTGATGCCACTGTGCTTAGCAACATTACCTTACATTGTAAACAGTATACTACAGAGAATGAGAATTTATTATACAGATCATGTTTTGCTATGCTGGACAAGTTTTCTTCAGAGGCTTGAGAAAGCTTTTATAGCAAAACATTACATCAGATACTTTATCTTGCAAGGTATTTAGTTAAAAACACTCATTTGCACTTGGTGCTACTGAATATTACCTTAAAACTTGACCCCTAATGATACACAAACATTCAGTACTGAAACTTAATGTGATCTGAACCAAAATAGTAAAAGTTATAAATGTTACAAAGTATTACTTGAATATGAATAAATATTGCACATACAACAAAAATATTGTATAACTGCAACTGCATATACAATACTTGTACTTCCACTTCCATGAACCAACTTACCAGAATTACCGGGTATGAAGAACCTTATTCTATAGTGAAACTTCAATGTAAAAATTCTTGTATAAGCAAAATATTAAAACTTTACATGGTCATGTAAAACAAATATTAATTAGTAGATTAATATCTCAACAACAAAAATTAACTCGAGGGAGGTGCCTTAACGCTGGTAAGGGACTCTTGATGCAAGTGGACATCCTCTCGTCTTCCTTGGATGAAACCTGATTGCCTCCCATTCCCCAAGACTGTATAACCACTATGGGCTTAGTGCTTTTCCCCCACTGATTAGTGTTATAATAATCAGCAAAAGCATGCTCCAGAATCATCGACTGCAACACCATTTCGCTCTCTACCAACAGATGCAACTTCTGCTCTATGAATGTCATCCACTGGAAATTGGGTGGGACTGATGGGCATCATTGGTTTAGAAGCCTTCAGTTTGTGAGCAAGTGTCATGAAGATGGCCTCTACATGGTCACAGTCACTGTCATCCTTGGCAGAAGTTTCAAAAAGCTGAAATAAACAAACACAAAATATTAATACTGATAATATACATAGCTCATAATTTTATCTCAAGAAAATATAAACCTAGTCAAGAAAAAATATTAAAATATCCCCCACATGATAAACTGGGACTATGAGAGTAATGTAAATGAGGTCCAAGATGACGGCAGTATAGTTTTGCACATGGACTCCTGTTCATGCCTTTTTCCTATCATCAGCACCTTTTTGATACATGGCAGTGTAACACAAAAGTTCAGTCCATTTTTGTAATACATTGTGTAAAGATGATAGATTTTAGAGATCATTTGAACTGTAATGCCTGAGTACTTCTGGATTAAACCATACTGCATATCATTTTCCCATGAGCTGCATGACCCATATACTACATATCAACAGTTTCCCATGATAATGTGCACCTCTGCCAAACCAGTTATTGAATGATAGTGAATGTATGTATTTTTTGAGAGTTACCTTACTTTAGTGGGACGAAAATCTACTGTACAGTACATGTCATCAGGAGCAGCGCTGTATAGCCCTTGTGGCTTAGCGCTTCTTTTTGATTATAATAATAATGTCATCAGGATAATTTTATAATGAAATCAGACGTGTCCATACTTTAATGGTAGAGGTGGAGCACCAACCGATAAAGCTTAATCCCAATATAGTGAGGGAAGTTCAATGAATGACCCATAAGGGTCATACAGCAGCAAGTTCAAATAGTGTCTGTATATAGGCAAAGGTATTTTTACAGTTTCCTCTCCCTGGGTCACTCTCCCTTAGTGGGAGCTGGCTGCTGTGCTTAATAATAATTATTATAATAACTGTTAAACCCACAAGGGCCATACAATGCTGTGCTGTGCTTAAAAAAAAATGAGTAACACAGCACTGCATGATGGAAGTGCTGGAATAAGGAAAAAGTGTAAATTACTGTATTCATTAGGAAGAACTGAACACATGAGTCACACAGCAACTAGAGAATGGGCGGTAATTAAATTTGATCCAAGGACACGACAGCTCCTATTTCTTAGATCAAGAGCCCATCATTTACATCAAGGCACCCTCTTGAAGGAAAAGGAGTGTGAAAGGTGGGCTCACAGGCTAGAGTGGAAAATTAAAACTGGGATATGTAAATTGGTTTAAGAAATCAAGCCTGCATGGAAGGTGGAGATTTCTGAGAGGAGGGCAGTAGATCTAAGACTGAGCTGGGCATAAATATAACATGTGGTTACATACATTTGATGCACATATTACCAACAAAAAAAAAAAATGAGAAAGGCATCGAGTACATTTTATAAATCCTATCTCTCACGTATTTCCGTACATCATTCACAAAACTTAGCTCTATTTACATAATGCTCAATACTTACAGGCATACTGTGATGGTCTGCAAACCTCTGTGCTACATTAGTTGGAACAGCCAACTGACCTTTGCAGTCACATTTGTTTCCCACCAGAATTCTTGGTATGTTGTAACTCAGGCTGTACTGATTACACTCTTCAATCCAGGATGGCAGAGACTAAAATAGATGAATGTTAAGATGAGATTATAACTTTCCAAATAATACTGCCTTCACAATACAATATATCTTTGAGTATAGCTCACTCATAATTTATGCAGGTTACATTCCCGCATTGATTCTAAAAAAGAAAAAAAAAATTCTTAATTTCTCAAAAATAAGTTTACTTGCCTAATATGGATGTGGCCCTATAAAAATGCCTGTATTACAGTGAAACACTCCTTGCCAGATCCACAATTTTCTGGACATGTCTATGAAAGGAAAACTTGTAAAATTATTCAATACACTTGACCATAATTTTCTCCAATGAGTATTTTTTGATTGGGGCACTCCATCCTGTACAATTTTTATGTTAGTTTATTGCTCCTGCAATAAGTCTAGCACCCCAGTGATTAAGTTATCATCCAGTGCTGTGAGGAGTTTCTGTACCACCCAATCCAGTGGTTGTGTCAAAGGTGTCATATTTGGTGGTAAACACATGAGGATGACTACTGGAATTATCAAGAAGACCTTGAATGAAAGGCATTTTCTGGCCACTTACTTCTAGACTGAAGGATTATATTATTATAATCAAAAAGAAGCACTAAGCCACAAGGGCTATACAGCGCTGCAGGGCAGGAAGGAAGCGAGGGTATCAGGTGGTAAAAGGGAGATGGATGAGTAATAGGTTACGGAGAACAGCAGGGCAGTGGATGGTGAAAGGGTAAAGGGCAGCAAGAGACTGAGCTAGAAGGGGCTGAGGGGAGTGCAAAAGGTATCATCATCAGAGTTTGTGGAGTAAATCAGTCGTTGTCAAGAAGTCAATGAGAGAGTCAGGATTAAAGGAGGGTCCATCAGCAAGAAGGGAAGGTAAAGAGAGAGTAGTAGAGTGGAGACGACGACGGAGGTAAATTCTGCGTGCTCATTGATAGAGAGGGCAGTCTAACAGAATGTGGCTAATCGATACGGGAACTTGACACTGCTCACAGAGAGGAACAGGGTGCCTCTCCATGAGATACCCATGGGTAAGACAAGTGTGGCCAATGCGAAGGCGGGAGAGAGTGGTCTCCCAACCTCGGCACTGATGACAAGAAGACGGCCAGTAACCTATGCTCGGTTTAATAGAATGAAGTTTGTTACCGAGCAGAGTTGACCAACGTTGTTGCCAACGGGTATGAAGGTGGGTAGCTATTGCAGCAAAATAGTCCAGAAATGGAACACCTCTATAGGAAATTGGTAGGTCATGTACTGCTGACCGCGCAGCAGTGTTTGCCTGTTCATTGCCCTGTACATCGACATGACCAGGGACCCAACAAAAAACAATATCTTTATGTTTGGTAGAGATACGGCGTAGCCAAAGTTGGATACGGAGAACTAGGGGGTGAGATGTATCTGAGTCTGAGACTACCACAAATGATGACACAGGCATAGATGCGATACGAATAAGTGCTGTAACAATGGCATACAATTCAGCAGTAAAAATGCTAGCCGAAGATAGTAAATGCCCCCGCACAACGCTGTCCGGAAACACTGCTGCGAATCCGATGCCGTCTGAAGACTTAGAGCCATCTTAACATTAAGATCGACAACACTCTAACTGCCAGGCATAATGAGGGCAAATTCCTAGGCCTATACCTCGACAACAACCTGAACTTCAGCACCCATATCCAACACATAACCAAAAAAGTATCCAAAACGGTTGGGATCCTCTCCAAGATACGATACTACGTGCCGCAAACTGCCCTTCTCACACTATACCATTCACTTATATATCCATACCTCACCTATGCTATCTGTGCTTGGGGTTCAACTGCAGCAACACACCTAAAGCCAATAATAACCCAACAAAAAGCCGCAGTAAGAATAATCACTAAATCCCATCCCTGGCAACCCCCCCCCCCCCACTCTTCATAGATCTAAACTTACTCCCTGTTCAGTACATCCACACTTACTACTGTGCAATCTACATCTACAGGACCTTAAATTCCAATATTAACCTTGACCTAAAATGCTTTCTTGATAGTTGTGACAGAACCCACAGGCACAACACCAGACACAAACATCTCTATGACATTCCCCGTGTCCGACTAAACCTTTACAAAAATTCAATGTATGTCAAAGGCCCTAAAATCTGGAACACCCTACCTGAAAATTCCAAAACTGCAGACACATTCATCACCTTCAAAACTACCATCAGAAAACATCTTATCTCCCTGATACACCCTGTCAACTAATAATACGAATACCACCTGGTGGTTCACACTTTCACTCACCCATTTGACCATAAACAGAAATATCAATCTCAATCTCAAAATAATGAATCTTAACTAGTCATAAGTTGGCCTGTGATACTCCAATACTGAAACTATGTATAGTGCCAAAACAAAAGCATTCACATTGCTAAACTCACAACTAGTATTTAGTCACTTAGCCATAATACCAACTTACCTCATAATTTTGCAATATTTTAAACTTAAGATTTAATATAAGTCTGCCCGAAATGCCTAGCCATGCTAGGTGTTCTAGTGGTACACTCTGTAATTATTATTTTACTACATGTAAACCACACAATAACCAAATTCTGTAAAATCAGCATTGTAATCCTTATAGAGAATAAACTTTGAATTTGAATTTGAATTGAATCTGTGTACACAGCGATGGCATGAGAATGAGAGTGAAAGTGGTCAAGAAAAAGAGAGCGGGAAGCGACCGTAGACAGTTGGGCTTTCGAGCAAGGGAGTGAGAAAGAACAGACCCGAACAGCTGGAACTTCCCAGGGGGGTAGGGAAAAGTGAGATGCTAGATGAACATATAAAGGTGGTAACTGAAAGGAAGACAAGAGCGAATGTAGGCGAAGAGAAAAGGGACGGAGCAAACATGGGCGGCGAACAAATAAAGAATGTCTACTAATATCGGTGACCATTCTATAAATGGAAGGATTGTGGAGATCGTGAGAGCGTACATAGTAGCGAAGGCAATGGGCATCACGGTGATCAGACAAGGATGGAACATTCACTTCTGTATAGAGGCTATCAACAGGGGAAGAGCGAAAAGCACCAAGGCATAAACGTAATCCGTGGTGATGTATGGGGTTAAGGCTAGAGTAGCAGGAGAGGCAGCTGAATAAATCTGGTCACCATAATCGAGTTTCGATAAAAGGAGGGCTGAATGTAGGCGAAGCAGAGTTCGACGATCAGCTCCCCAGGAAAGATGAGCAAGGGTTTTAAGAAGGTTTAGCCGGCTGTGACAAGTTACCTTCAGAGAGGTAATGCAAGGTTTCCAGGATAACTGACGGTCAAAGAGAAGGCCTAGAAACCTGACTATCACGTTCGGGGAAACGGGAGCCATAGAGATACAAAGGATGATCGGAGATGACAGAGCGTCTAGTGAAAGTAATCTGGTGAGTTTTGGTACTGGAAAATTTAAACCCATGCGTGGTGGCCCAAGTGGAAACACGGTCGACCGCATGCTGGAGAGAAACGGCAATAAGATGACAGTCAGCGCCTGCACAAGCAATAGCGAAGTCATCAACATAGAGTGATGACCAAATATTGGGTGGAAGAACAGAGGCCAAATCATTTATAGCAAGGAGAAAAAGCGTTGTGCTCAGAACACATCCCTGAGGGACTCCTTCAGCTTGGATGAAGTCCAGAGAAAGCACATTATTGACTCAAACATGGAAATGTCTGTCAGTTAAAAAGGTCTTAAGGAAGGATGGGAGATTGCCTCGGAGGCCTAAGGAGTGGGCCTGGGCCAAAATATTATACCTCCAAGTTGTGTCATATGCCTTCTCAAGGTCAAAAAATATGGCAATAACTGAGTGATTATTCGCAAAGGCATTACGAACATACATATCCAAGCGTAGTAAGGGGTCTATGGTAGAACGGCCCTTACGAAAGCCATATTGACTAGCGGAGAGACTGTTGTGTGTCTCTAAATACCACATTAAACGTCGATTTACCAGACGTTCCATCACTTTGCAAACTGCACTAGTAAGAGCGATGGGACGATAGTGGGAGACATCATGTCCTGTAGTACCCGGTTTGCGGAAAGGGAGAACAATGGCAGATTTCCACAACTGGGGAAGAACTCCTTGTGACCAAATAAGATTGAAGAGGTGTAAGAGGACTACAAGGGCTGACTGATGTAAATGTTGTAACATACGAATATGAATGTTGTCAGGCCCAGCTGCCGATGATCGGCAAGCTGAAACCGTTGCCTCCAGTTCCTGAATGTAAAAGGTACATTATACTGTTCTTCTCTGAGAGAAGAAAAGTCCAAGGGTACTAACTCTCTGGCAGACTTTGAGGAAAAAAACGAGGGGCATAGATGGAGCCCCCGGGAAATACGGACCAGATGAGTGGCCCAATTTCTCAAACGGCAACGTCAAGGAGGTTTTGCCTACATCAACACCAGCGACCCGTAGAACATGTGAGCCGGGTCATGAGAGAGGATATTTAATCACTCAATTGTTCTCTTCACTTTTTTCAACGACTGCACTCACAAGAGGAAGCAGAGGATGGGTGAAACATAGTCTCGCCACAAGTGCGTTTTAGTGTCATGGATGACATGGGCGACGATCGAGCACCTACTGCTTAACAATCAAGAAGTCTCTCATCGGTTCATGACTGTACCAGTACTGCCCATGCAGTGCGTTCAGACGTACTGCACGCGCAAACAACAGGAGACCACCAAGGCACGCACTTCCGAGAATGCCTGCCTGAGGTTTGGGGTATAGAATGAGAAGCTGTGGCATGAACTAACATCGAGAAGAGGTGTAGAAGCTCATCAATGGAGGATGAAGAAGGAACCTCACTAAAAGCAGTGAGTTTCGAGTAAAGGTCCCAATTTGCCCGATCAAATTGCCAGCGAGGGCTACGGAAAGGTGGTGAATACGAAGGTGAAGTAAGAATGATAGGAAAATGATCGCTGTCATGTAAGTCCGGTAGAACAGACCAGGTGAAGTCTAGTGCAGTGGAGGAAGAGCAGACTGATAGATCGATGCAAGAAAGAGTACGAGT